AGTAGGGGCACGGGTGGGGAAACTGGACCCAAGTCTTTCCAGTTTGAAATATCATGCTCTACCACATTGTCCCGTTTTGTTCACTAGTATTTTTTAAATTAAATTATGATTAAAAACAAGAAAATTTTAACTGTAACATTTCACCTTCCATGACTAGAACTATCTGGCTATACTTCTGTAATATTACTAAACCTGATAAAGCTCATATTTTTCTTTTTACAGTGATTTATGATGAAGAGCTGACACTTGCATTTTTCAAAACGATCTATCACATTCTTTCCAAGTCACCCCCTAAAACTCTCTTGCTCGCTATAGAAAAACGGTAAGCTTTTTGAAAACATTCAGTTCAATTTCAATAAAAAATGTGAGTATTATAGTTTGAGGAATTTATTGGGTTAATATATTTTCTTATTTAAAATATTTTTTGGCAGTATTATCTAGTACTTACTAGATCTGGTAGGTTTTTTTTTTAAAATGTTCAGTTTAAAAAACTTAAACATTTCTGGTTGACTTTATGAGATATCTTAAGTAATAAATGATGATTTTATTGGCAGTACTGTATTTAGCAACAAGGATCAGACAGTGTGCAGCCCAGCATATGAAGATTTTACACAGCACCTAGCAGACATAGTTAGTGTAGATCAAGGTCCAGTAAGATTTACATCGCAGCAAATGGAGTGCACTTTCCCACAGTACTTTCACTATCATAGATCAAAGGAACTGGTAGGTTTTTATTTTAAATAATTTAATTATTAGTCCTCCATTTACGATATCTGCAGATGTAGGTTTTTATGGCAGTCATAAATGTATGACCCCTTTACTTGCAGTATAATTTTTCTTTAACATGAGACTATCATAAACTTTATGGCCATGCCTCTGTCACATAAAAATTTCAGCTGATTTTACATGAACTGACCATCAAACCATTGTCAATGAGAGAAATGTAAAAAGTAGTTATGTGACCAAAACAAATACAACCTTCTTTTTTCAGGAATTGTGGACAATTAAATCTCTGAATGCATTAAAGAGCTGACAAGCTATAGAGACTAATTCATTACACATGGATTTTTACTCGTTTATTGAGGTGTGTACATTAATGTGCATAAATGAAAACATACTCTTATGTATTCCTTAAAAGCAAATCAAATTCTTTATTCCATTTTTGTCATTTGAAAAGGATCATTTAAAACTAGTTGACACAAAGAATAAAACGTACATACATTATTTACATTTTGTTCTATAGTTCATTTTTTAAACATTGAAAACTAGTGCACTCACATTTTTTGTCCATTCATGCATAAAAGCACAAACAAATTTATAAATTGCACTTTCAGAACAGATATAATGCCAGTGTCATGACATCACAAAGGACTTGAGGCACAGTGGCAACAGATGGCATAAGTACCTATATGAGAATTATCAATCCTTCAACAATGAAAAGGCTTAAATTAACAATGCCACCCTGTCAAGGATTGGCTCAGGGTGATCTGATTCAAGTACTCAAATGTGCAAATCATGTCCAATGGTTCCTTGACCAAGATGGGCATTAGCTTTGTCAGACTAGCCAAATCATCTCCACGCCAGCTTGGTCCTAAATTATAGCAGGAACCAAACTCATGTGCTTCCTATGCTGTAGGTGCATAGAGAAAGATGAGGTAGACAAGAAACCAGAGATCACACTGGAGGTGAAGTAATACTAGGTGTTGGGGAGTGTACGGGCATCACCACCAAGGCACATCAAATGCAGCCATTTTGAAATTCTATAAATGACACCATACTAAATTACTTTTTTTAATGACTAACCATTATTAGAGGTTTAAGGAATGTTAAAAATGTTTTGATTATTTTTTGTTATTTGGTGAATGTAATGATTTTTGTTTTGTATTGCTTAGTGAACGTTTTATATCTAATAGTCTATGCAAAACATTTAAATTACAGCTGATAAATGTGTATGAGCAAGTATTTATTTATCATAAAAATATAATTTATGGGTAATAAAAATTTTCTTAAATTAAACTAAAACATGTACAAGTATTTTACATGAACCATACAACACAAGGTGGGACACGCTCCAACATACATATCTATACATGCATTGTAAAATCACAATCTTTCACACAAGCCTTTGCAGGCTCTAGATTTAACATGGCACCAATGTGCTCAAAATAAATATCAGGATACTTTATTCTGGGAGTTGATTTGATGACGTAGATTTTCTAACATAGCATATGCACGTTGTACAACATCTGGCCTGATTAGACTAAAGTCAAAAAGGTTCACAAGATGAAGCAGAAAATTTCTGCACAGATTTTTCTTAATAATCTCTGCTCCATGCTCTTCAACAAAAGTAAAGCTTGCACGTGGAACCATACAGTCTCCTATATATCTGTGGACATTTCAAGTGAAAAAAATTAAGCAATGTTTGCAAGATTTTGAAAATCAATTTTTGAGTTGGATGATAAATTATCTAGGACTGTGTTTTACCAGTGCCCCAAGCGTCTTATTCAATGCAAATTACAATGTAATACCTCTAACCTTCTACTTATTCTACTCCAGACATGCTCATCATCCACTTAGCTTATGCTTACATGTATGGAATTTTAGGATCAAATATATGACAGTTAAAACTGCTTGTCTTTGGAACACAAGCTTATAAGGACATAGACCACCAGAAAAGCATCTTACTGTATCATTTATAAAAATTAGTTCCCTGACTTTTAAATCTTTTCTTATGTCCAATAACGTTCAATAGGACTATGTTTTTAATATTGTTGAATTCAATTTTTTCATTTTAAATAAATTATTGACATAGGCAGAGTTTTAAACATAAATTTATCTAGTTTTGCATCAGTATTTTTTTTTTTTTGGAAAATAATCAAGTATCTACAAAATAAACCATTTTGCTATTTATTTTTACATTTTTTTAAAGAAGTTGTTAAAAACTGCTTTGTCCTTTTCCTAAGCTCTGTCAAATTGTGCTGATTTCAGGTGAACAGACTTAAGTTATTGGAAGAAGTTTTTCCCACTACTAGTTTCTTTGCTTTAAATTTTCTAATGTACTTTATTTCTGTACAAACACAACAAATGTGTGCAGTTTCACAATTAACTTTTGCATCAGACACTTTTTTAGGTTGCAAGTGGGTGGGCAAAATCCATTGCTCCTTATAGACTTATTGTGCTATTGACACACTGGTGACAGGTTTTTACACTGTAAATCAGCAAGTCTCTAGAGGCCAAACAAAGGGAATTACTTTGAATATTTTAGTCTACCATTTAATTTTTCTTCTTTAACCCCCATGTGTATCTTATGATCTGGTTCTCCTTACAGATCAAAAGTAATTTTAAATATAAAATCTACTTGAGATATCTAGTGGTTTCGTTAACTGTTACAAACAAACTATATGTAATTTTGATATACCAAACTAACACTTACTCTTTTTCCATAACATGCAAATTCCACATTTTCATCAATTCTTTTTCACCTTCATTGACATCAGTAAACTCATCTATCATCTGCAAGCATAATATTTTTTAAAAGTGTAACAAACCTAGCACCAATTTTTAAACGTTTAGATCTAGCTATTTCAAACAAAAACAAAAAAGTTACACAAGCTCACCATGACAGTTTTTTGTTTCAGCCAACGAGGTTTACTCTCTTCTCTCCCCTCTGTATCTAGCTCCTGGGGTCGGACTGGCTGGCATGTCACAGTATGGAAATAAAGTCTGTCACAAAGAAATTGAAGATTAAAAATTGCTGCAGTGACTAAAATGCATTGTTTAAAAGTGCAACTCAAATAATGTGAGGAACAAAGGATAAATGCTTAAGGAAGAACAGTTTACTCTTGTATTGATCAATAAGTAAAATTTATACAGATAGTTTGAATGAGAATAACATCCACCTCCCATTATAGATTTTTTTTGCTATGTGCAAACTGTTGAAGTTTACTACCCATATGGAGGATTAACATTAGTTAACAATGCTGTCAACTTTTGTTATTTATACAGACAGCAGTAAATGCTGAAAGTGGGCAGCCCTCCATGAACCAAGAATCCTAAAAATAAAAAACAAGATGCACCTATTGTGGCCTTGTATAAGTTGCCTATTGAGCCCTGTCTCTGACTCAGCTTCTTGGAATTCAGATAAAGATGGTGCTGCTCTCTTAGGTCTGAAACATTTGTTTGATTACTTATTAGCTTTCAATACTTCAAAGTTAAACAGCTATTTAGTATAAAGATTTCTTTAAAAGTTTGTTACCTATAAACAATAACATGGGTGATGGGTGTACGTCTAACTGGGTTGCTGCGGCTAAAGGCATAGCCTACATGGGAATGAATATCTTGAGGATTGCCAACATATGAGCCATCATAGCGTTCATTTATTGAAACATCAATGCGAGCTCCCTTAGGATGTGGCTGATAGTAATTTAATAAAAGAAAATTAGTATTGTATAGATGTACCGAATCAACAGCAACAAATTACAAACTATTGAAACATTAGAAACTTACAATATACATGAAGTTGAACCTAGAATGACACAGACGTAAATGCTTGAGCAAACTATACAACTGTTGACATGAGAGGCAGCACCAAGGACATCGTAGATCATCCCTTGCTTCTGTCTCTTGTTGTGTGCAGGAGTTATGAGTAAACTGATAAAACACTCGCAAACGTTTGCGGGGTGTAACTTGATTTTGATTTTCTCGCTCTCTTGTTTTTGGACCAACATATTCAGCCTTCACCCCTGAACAGAAAATATTTAAAAAAGCATTCTATTTTTTTTCAAGTTGGGCTAAAAAATAAAATATGAAAAATCATGCAGTTAGTTTTGACGAAGACCTAACAGCATGTTAAGGGGAATAAAAATTGATTTTAACAAGAAGAAGAAAAATAAAGAGATGGGGTAAAACAAAAGGCAAACCTTTGATTACACCCCTCTGATAAACCTTACATTTCTCAAATGCTGCTGAGAAATCTGAGGTTCCGTTGATAAGATGGCAGCGAGGGGGAGTCTCACATTTTTTATTGTTGTCCTCTTGAGCTAACCATGTCAGGGTAAATTTCAGAGTGGGGTAATCCGTGAATAGCTCAAGGGGTCGGACATTCTGAAATAATTGCACATCAATTTTTACTCATTGAAATCCATTTTTAAAAATTTCAATAAAATTGTAAAAGAAATAGAAGAAACAAACATCAAAACATGCTATATTCATTGACATGTTACTCTGAAAAAATTCATTATTTTATTACTTTTCCTGAGAAAGACTCCCAGACTTTGTTCAGTTTGAGGGTCTCAGTACCATCTGAAGTTTCAACGGCCAGCTCATACTTCCCCTGGGTCAACAGACACGACTTGGTTTTGTCATAAACAACCAGCTCTCTGCAAAATGTCAAGATCTCTTCCTCTAAGGATGAAATGCGACCATTTCTACGTCTTTTAATGGGGGGCTCATCTGTAAAAGAAAAATTACACAATAACTGCCTGAAGGTTAGCTAGATGTAAAAAGACACTACTTCAACCACACAACTTACTTTGAACATGATTCTCCCCTGAACTGTTGGCTTCTCTTAGAGTAGCACACTGTACACGGAACAACAGTACATGGGATCTAACAACATGACCATTCTTATAGGCAAACATTTCACTAGGAATTTCAAGCACTTGATCTTGGTACACAGCCAATGGCTTTGGATTAACTGGTACTCGCAACTTGGCCAGTGTCACTGGGACAATGGGTACTGCTGATTCCTGTGGACATAGTGTGTTTTAGATTCATCGATTCAACAAATTTCTCTTTGTATGAAATAATCAGCAGAAATGTACATACCTTTCTTTTCTTCTGGCAAATGCGCAAAAGTAGAATTTCGACATCAGCAAACTCAGCCTCAGTTGCAACTAAAAAGATTTGTGAAAAGAATTCCTATTTATATTTTAAACAGCACTATTGATCAACTCTATAAAAATATATTGGTGGATTCCACAAACAACATGTCCCAATATGAGATTTGTACATTAATAGGAAAAAGATACTTTATCAACATTTTTACCTAACAACCAAAAGTAAGACCAAAAACAAAACTAAATACTTACAGTCAGCAATATGAAAGCCAGAGAACGATAGCTGTAGAGTTTCATGTCTTAACCTGGTTAACAGAGAAAAATGTCAGTTATATGTATAACAGCAATTGTAGCAGTTTATGGACAATTACCTAATTTTGTAATACAATGCTAAACATTAAACACACCTTTTCCTCACGGATTCCTTTTCTAACTTGGCCTCCACAGATCCCAATATAGAGTCTACTTTAAATGTTTTTCTAGAGAGAAAGAAAAACGACTTTTTTGCAAAAAAATAAAACATATCATGTTAGCTATGATTATATACATGAGCGTTAAAATAAAAATTTAGAATTTACAAAAGCTTCTTTACCTTTTGCTATTTGAAACAGACCTCCTCTGTTTCATATACGATAAAGTTCTTGGTAAAAATATTGGCTGCAGAACAAGATAATAAAACTCAGCATTCTGTTTTTACATCTAGAGATTTTTCAGGTTATAATAGTATGTAGATCATTGGACCAAAAAGTAATTTTTAAATTTATTTCAAAGATCTTTAAGTTATACAATGTTTTTTTTTATCATAATTTCATTTCACTTTCCCAAAGGCCGATACAATTTCCTAAAATTCTCTGGCTCTAAAAGCTTTTAACCCTGAAAGCGCGCCTAGCCATGATCGTGGCTTTGCTGTTACATAACTTATAACGCATAAGGCCACGTGGCGCGCGCTTTAAGGGTTAAAAACATTCTCCTGTGTAGAAGTAGAAAAAATCATTTCAGTGTGATTTTATCTATTATCAGAGCAATGTTTGATGCAGTGCAAAAGGGGGTGGTTTTGTATTTTCATTTAAGAGTTGCTGAAGTACTCAAAGATTGTGAGGGGTGTGACACTTTTGGATAAGTGAAGAGGAGCTTCAAATAGGGACCAGCGCAAGAGAGTGTTTTTGAGGTGCACAAGGGTATAAAAATATAATCTTTTTTATGATCATAAAGCTAACTTTTGAGTCAAATCTTACAAAGCAAATTTTAAATTGGCAAAAGTTAAATTATCAGAACTTTTTTTTCCACAGGACAAGTTCAAAAAACCAGTGATTCCGCCACAAGAAAGAGAAACTGAAAAGCTGGAAGGGTAGGTTGTTAAGAAACACATGTAAATAGAAAGTTGTGTCTAATGGAGACAAATTATAAGTTAAAACTACTTTAATATTTAAAAATGATGATGTTTCAGGAAATTTTGAGGAAGCAGAAACCTCATATTTTGAAATTACAGTACACTAGGTTTCGGGGACATCTTTTGAATTAAGGTTTATAAAGCTGCGTGAAAATTTTAAGCAGTAATTTAATGCAGCTTCTTGAACCCTGATTCAAGCAAATATTAAGCAAGTCATGCTAATTTGAAAGTGCGCAAAAAACAAATATTAAAAGAAGGATTTAAATAGATCAATTTAATTTCTTTAAACTGAACACAGACAACAAATAAGGTCCTAAAATGAGTATTGACTTACCAAAACAATGCTTCTGGTTCTCAGATAACGATAGATCTGTGTTGGCTCTAAAAATAAATAAAATAGGCCTCATAAAAGTTTGTTTTTTTTAAATTGTCAATGAGCGTCAATCAGCCATATTGCCTGACACTTCTACTTAATGATACTTTACTGTAATCCTAAAATTACAAATTAGTCCTGAACCAAGGTTTTTTTATTAAATAAACAAAATGAACATGGGCAACTATGGAAAAAAAAACTAGCTTGAGAAAAATTTGGGCCTAATTGGTCAGTTTGCCAGACAGTAACAATTCTGTTTTTATGTACTTTCATTCACTATGACATGAACTGTAGATGTGTTTGTAAAATGCACATTGAAATCTTTCAGCCCCTAGATAGTCTAAATCAATTTGGACTTAAATTTGGTGTCAAGTTTTCTTGTAAGGGACAGGCCCAATACTTTCAATTTTAATTTGAAATGGAACAAAGTCTAAGTTATAGGGGCCTAATAGGAAATCATCGAAAGTCTAGCCTGGCATCTAGAGGAGTTTACACTTTTCGGACACACACCAAAAATTACGTAGGACCGAACACTTCGTCGGTTTTTGGCTCATAGAAACTTTAATTAGCATGTCTCACGCGAAACCACGGCGCCTGCACGTAAACTGTTCATTTATGAACACTTCCGTGTCAAGTACTTCCGTTTCCTTTCTCAAGAATTATTTTTAGAAATTTTTTAACGTTGCATGGTACGCACATTTCTATTTTTACACCAGCCGGATGAAGTGACCTAGGGTTGGACTTAGGGGCAAAACTTGAACCAATCAATGCTTAGCTAAAAGGTTACACTATAAATAGCTTCTATATATGTATGGAACATCGTAAATGTCAAGGTTAATGGGTTTTTTCGTGCTTGAACAATAAAAAAGGGGTGTTCGCTAACTTATTTGGCCTTACATGGGAGCGGACAGCAACACAAAAATATTATTAAATAAGAATTTAGAGCATAAAAGGGGCTGGTTATTGAAGGGAAAGGGTCAAAATAAGGTCAAGAATAAGGTGGAATGCGAAAGAGGAGGGGGAATCATGTGACCTGGCTGGCTTAGCAGCGTACTGCGCGAGCCGCAATGGTTGAATGGGATGAACTTTGGGAGTGTGGGAAAAAGGTTTTAATACTATTAAAATTACCTCACAAACAATCAATAACACAATATAAATGCATATAATATATGTTTTTATTCATTAAATTGACTTTAAATTATTCTAAATGAACAAAAAGTGCTATGTCCGATGACGGGTAAAGGTGTCCGAACACATGTAAAACTGTATTACATGTGTTCGAACACACGTTAAGACCCCCCCAGTCACTATAACAAGAATAGCTTAAGTTCTATGCGTATGAATACAAAATGACACACACATTATTAAAGTAGAATGGTTGCGGATAGATATGATACTTTTTTTTGTTTTCTATGTTAAGGGTTACTGAATGAGACCGCATGGAATTTTTACGTTGCGTTTTTTCGCTATGTGTGTCCGAAAAGTGTAAGCTCCTCTAGATCTAGATACATTTTAATGAGATGCGCTTCGTGTGAATAATTTTATTTAGAGAATCTAGTATTTATATTTAAGCCTAGATCTAGATCTAGATCTACTCTAAGTACGGCCATTGCGAAGGGCCCGTAGAAGGTAGGCCGTTCGAATTCACAGCTTCCGGGTTTGTTGTTTTGAAGCCATCTCACGGCTCATGCGCTTACCAAAAATGGCGACCAGTTTCGCTTTCACTAATGGGTAGAGCGATAAAACTAATGATTACGAAGCCATCGTTAATTTAAGAAATCGGAACTATCCGTTTCTATTTAAGTCTGTTATTTAAGAATTGTCGGATCTACTTTTGGCCTAATTTCTATGTTTGTCTCGCAAGCGGCGCCTTAGTGAAAGTAGCTCTATATAATTCTTATCTTTCGAATCAAATAACTATAAAATACCGCAGGTATTTTTAACCAGACTATTGCTATTTTTTACTTGAAAGCATTAATTTTACACACGTTACAATAAACTGGTAATAATTTGTGGTAGGCATGAGATATGCTCTGTAAGAATAATAATGCCATTTTATTATAAACTTTTTTGGTGAACACGAAGCGCGGGAAAATGTGTGACGCGCAAGAATCCAATCATTCGGCTAGATTTATGACTGTTTTTTATGTCACACCTAAAAATAGAATGTTTACGCTTTCTTCATTGATGATCGTTTTCATTATTTTTTTAAACTGAAAGTATGAATTATTAGTTAGATTTCAGGTTTTGTAACTTGGTATACTTACCCTTTATCAAAATTAAAAGCATAGCATGCTGATTGTGAACAAATATAGTCATAAAACACAAATATAAAGTTACAAACAATGCGATGTCGGGATGTGCCACACCCCCTCAAGAAAACACGTGTTTATTAAGCTGTTTATCTCACTTTACAACAGTAATTAAAATTAATTTTCAAATTTTTATCACTTATTGGGTAAGATTAAGCACATATTTACTAAAAATGAAATAAAAAACAAAAGCAAATTCTGTTTTAATGAAGGTCACGGGTCAAGTTTTTTTTTCCTTCTGTCATGTTCAGTGGAGGGTGCCACAGGCTGACCTGACTTTGGAATTTTTTTCAGTAATAATGACTTTGCACAGAAAGTTAAAATATGCTAAATTGGCTTAGTTTACTAGTGTGCAAGCTATTATTGATACATTTTTAATAAAAAAATCATTCTGTAATTCTCACCAAAAAGCCTATAGAAGGCGTAGATCTAGATCTCTAGACTTGATAGCCTTATTAAATAGCTGAAGTATTATAAACTTAACCACAGCTAAATCTATAGATCTAGAAATCTACTGCTTAGCATTATTTTTTAATTTAATATTGGTGAGTGAAAGTGCAGCTTGAACTTGAGTCTTGAACTGAAACCCAAAACAACTTCAACAAGTCTCAGACTTCCACTGACCACTGATTTTGAGATAAAAATAATTTTTAAAGTATTGAATAGCAGATAGAATCTAGATCTAGATCTAAATCTAATACAATGTTAAATTCCATCAATGTGAGAATATTACGGAAAATACAACGGGATGCTATAAAAAATAATTTGGGCTCGATGTGTATGAAAAAGTAATGTTTTGGCAGCCCGGCATTTCTTTCGTCTTTATCGAAAATAGGTTACACCCTCGATTGACAATATTCAACACTAGACTAACTCTATAGCTAAACAAATAAAAATTATAGTAACTGACTTTCAAAAGCTTGAAGAAATAACTCATGATCTGCTTCGGGTTTTTTGTCTTTTTTAGTATCGTTCTGGGTCCCAGTGTTTTCTACCATTCGACGTTTGGGACCCATTGTATCGGTTATTTCCAATGAATCCGCGGGAACAACGGAACTCAGTATCAAACAACGCTTCCCAGAATTTTTGTGGACTTGGTTATCTGTATGAGACCAAACTGATATTCTATTTAGCTTTATAAATAAGTCTAGTTAGGTGCATTAGTTTATGGTCAATACATGGAGACTAATTATTGCTTGGAGTCAGGTGTTAATTAAGCTTTGAAGAAAATATAACTCAACATTATTGAATGACTATGAATAAATCGTGTATGTACAATAAGAAATGCAAATGAAAGATTTCACAGAGTTTTGAAGCCTATTTTGTTTATTGATATGTTATTGAGTTATTGTCTAAATCGATTTTTGGTCAATATCTAGGGGTTTTTAAACGTCTTTTATTTGGACAAAAAATTCATGTTTATAGACATAATATTTTTATGGGCAATCCCATCAACCCCCGGAGTACAATCGCCGCCTCTTTAACCCCCCCCCCCCCCCCCCCCCCCGACCGCGCGTTGACTGGTATGACAGATTCGGATATTCAGACAACTGAGAAATTCCATAGCATAGTTTCAGAGTACCCCCCCCCCCCCCGAACGAAATATAATTTATATTTAAAAGATACTTTTACCAGTGTCAACCCCCCCCCCCCTCCGAAAATTCCAAGAGACCCCCCCCCCCCCCCCGGAGAAAAGTCTGGAAGAAATACTGTTCCCTACTTGTGCTTCACAGAGAGAATGGTTATTTTTACGGTCATGGCAGGACCAGTGTTTCTTCCAGGCTTTTTTCTCCGGGGGGGGGGGGGGCACTTGAAATTTTCGGGGGGGGGGGGGGGGTAAACCTTTTTTGGTGGGGAGGACACTAATAAAAGTGTATGCTTATTATAAATCCATCTCGTTGGGGGGGGGGGGGGGGTAGCGGTAGACTTTCTTCGGGGGTCTCCGACCCCCCCCCCCCCCCCCCGAAGAGATGCCTGGAAGAGACTCTGGTAACACCCAGTGCGGTAACTGAGGATGTCACCCCCTCCACCAACGACTATATATAACTATATATGCCTATATTCCGGTAAGTGGTGCGATTTGTGCCTAATTGTGTAAATAATCTAAATGTGATATTAAACTATCTAGGAAAAGCAAATTTCCTATTAAAATTAACTATTTTTTTTCCTTTTGGTGTCACTCTTTTGGATGATGTCTCTAAGTGCGATTCTCCCCCCCCCCCCCCCCCCCTCCCGCATCCGCCTTGTGATGCTAATGCAACAAGATGCCCAGACCTTGCCAGTATTAACAGCAAAAGCTCAGACCATTACTCGGTAGCCATTGACATCAGGCTGGGAAGTGACGTAAGTGGTTATTTTCCTAACCACTATCCTGACCCCTGTTTTAAATCTAAAACCTGCACACGTTATTTCCGGTGTAGGGAGATTGTTTCTCCTACCTGGCGAAGACGCCACTCGATCTGTCTGTAAGTTTTTTAAATTGTTAAAAAGTTTTAAGTTTTCTTTTTCGCTTTCTAGCGTGTAGGGCAACTGAAGTCGAGTTCATTCTGTTTCAGTGAACTAGGCTTATAATATAAAAAGTGTTTCTTCCAGACTTTTTTCTCCGGATGGGGGGGGGGGGGGGGCGGACACTGGTAAAAATATGTTTTCTATACAGATTCCATTTAGTTCGAGGGGTGGGGGTGCTCGCCCCAGAAGAGATGCCTGGAAGAAACTCTGCTTATAAACTATTATAAAGGGATAGTGTGAGGTCACGGAAGGCGGTGGCAGGGCTTCTTTGAGACAGTTTGGTTGAGGGGGAGGGGGGCATTTAAACTGGAGGGCGGCATGTATAAGAAAAAGTTAACTTTAATAATTCTCTATTTTGTCCCGGGGTGGGGGGTGGAAGATGCCAGAAAGAAACATCGAACATTGGCTGCGGCAATAGGTTTAAGGTTTTTCCTGTCGGGCGCCATGCCCAATCCTATGTTACTAAGGCCCAGTGACCCGAAGCTTGGTGCTAAAAGGTGCCGGGAGGGGGGGGGGGGTAGACATTGACATTAAGTAGCCGATATATTTTCTCTATGAATTAAATGTTTTCTATTTCGTCCGTGGGTGGGGGGGGGGGGAGGAGGAGAGGGTGTGGTGTGGTGTGGTGGCGGTACGTGCTAGGAGCTGGGTTGGGGCCTAACGCCTACCCCCCCCCCCCCAGAGAAATGCCTTGAAAAAAAAACACTGCTTCAATCCCTCATATATCTATTTATTTAACCCTATTTATCTTTTCAAAAAATTAGCTGAGTGTGTAAATTTTTCAGTGCGAATTAAGTCTATTAAAGTGCGTCACTACTACGACAGAATACTAGTCAATTTTTATATAAAATACTTTAAAAAAAACTTTTTAAAAAACCACGTTTTTCTTGTGGACTAAAAAGTAGAAAATAAATTTTCATACATTTGATGACAAAAAACGTGGGTACGTTCACCATCAAATTTCCCGACCCATCTGCCCGACCCACGTTTTTTGTCATCAAATGTATGAAAATTTATTTTCTACTTTTTAGTCCACAAGAAAAACGTGGTTTTTTTTTAAAGTTTTTTTTAAGTATTTTATTTTCTCCTTTTTAGTCCGTTGCTACACATGAAAAACGTGGTTTTTAAAAAAGTTTTTTATATAGTTTATTTTCTACTTTATCTAATGACTTGATTAAGTATGACTTGACTAAGTGTTTATAAATACACGGACTAAAAATCTTGAGCGACCAGGATTCGAACCTGGGTTGTCGCGGCCACAACGCGAAGTACTAACCGCTATACGATCACGGCCAGCGCGCTCACATCGATTGGGGCCGAAGTAACTGTGTCAATAGGCCTCCAGTCTTGTCGGTATCTTTAGAAATCATGTCCTCAATTTTATGGTCCTTGGGGCGTAATTAAATTAAGCTAATTACGGTCACTAATTGCTAGTTTTTATGATTGCATCTGAAATTGTTAGGCGAAAGTAGCCTACATGCCAAATTTCAGATCTCTAGAGCAATCAGAAGTGGGCTCATTTTCGATGTCAATTTTAACAACAAACATCCAAACAAACAAACAAACGCGAAGCTGAGTTAAGAAAAACGTGTTAAAAAATATGAAGGTAACTGCTCGTTTATTGTTTACTCTTCTGATTTTAGCTATGTAATCGTTGACGCGTGGAATGTTAGTGACGGATATAAATAATACTGGTTACAAATAACAATTATGACTATATTCTATACAGTTGTTTCCTAGGGAATCGTAGACTTACAACGTCATGATTTTGACAATTTTACCCACCAAAAAACCCAGTGGCGTAGCGAGGTCGGGTGTCACCCGGTGCGGCACTTAATGGTGTCACCCCCAGAGGCGGCGTAGCGACCCTTCCCGGGGACAAACTTTCAAGTTTTCGATTTGCACCCCCCCCCCTCAAACTTTTGATTTGCACCATCCTCAAGTTTTTCTCTATATATTTTGCTATTTTTTGCCTTGGTGTCACCCCCCTAAATGGTGTCACCCGGTGCGGTACGCACCCCCCCTCGCTACGCCCCTGCAAAAACCCATAGCTATACACTGGCACAGAAAGTCAGACTCCCTGCCCCCCCCCCCCCACCCCATCAATAAAAGGACGTCACAATTCACCAATTTAAAAAAAATAGAATTTTGTTTAAAAAATATTTACTATTAATTTAAGTCGAAATTAAGTTTATTGATACATTCATATTACCATTTTAAAAATTTACTACAATAATTCAGTTTTTTTTTTTAAAAAAAAAAAAGCAAAAATGGTGACGTTACACTTTTTGACCCTCCTCCTCTTTACCAAAAGTCATATCGTCACAGCAGTCCAGACTCACACATCCACCGTCATATATGATGAGTTTTTGGGGCGTCGAAATGATATTTGGGTCTATATAGTCTTATACACCGCCATAACATCTTATATATGAAATCAAATCAAACAACTACACGATATTGATAATTTAACCAGGAGATTGTCCATAAACGAATTCTCAAATATTGTGGAGAAGAAAGTTCAGCCTCTTGTGACGATAGGGTGTGAATTGTGACATGTTTTGTATAATTAGAATAATAACATTAAGGGGAAATATTGTGTTCTTAGCGATTATCCGACGTTTGAGGTCATTTAGGGAGTGGTGTAAAAAAATGATTAAAATCGCGTGAGGTCTTTAATTTTGTTTTTGGTAACTCTTTCTGTCTCAATAGACTTCGACTCGGCGTAAAAAAAAATAATTTTCTGAGTTTATTAGCCTAGTGGCATAGCGGGGGGGGGGGGGGGGAGGGGGTACATATGTTCCCGGGCACCGACCCTAAGGGGTGCCAAAATAAGTTGGAAAAAAAATAATTAAAAGCTCATTTTATTTGCAGTTTTGAATTATAAATATTAAAAAAATATAGGGGGGGTGGGGAGCGGAAGGGGTCGCTTCGCCTCTAGGCAGACAATCCAGACAGAGAGAAGCGCGCCTCATCCGCAGAACCAGTTTTGTTTACTGCAATTTCGTAAAGACACTCTTTTAGAGATCGATAAACCCAAACACCTGACGTCTAGCAGCTGTTGATAAGTAGTTATATAATCTGGGTCACAAAACTAGGTTTCTTATACTCGCTCTGAAACATTGACTATATAATTTATATATCGATACTAAAATATTTGTGATGCATTCACGTTAGTTTTAGTTGTTTTTTTTTTTTTTAATGAATTGATGGAACGATTTATATGGTAAATTCGCATTAAATGTTAAGCCATTTCGGCTGTGTAGGCCTACATGCTTTAACACTAGGGGCTCGTCCATAAATGACACCTTGCTTTTTTTTTATAAATTGTTTACCTTTCCACATGTCACACATCGTCACAAAAAGTCAGCTCCCCAAATAACGCATTCAGTTTAGCATTCAGCCACTCCAATTACAATTGTTTTTAATTAACGAAGTACATTGAAACTGATCAAATTTCATATCAATTTTCAAGAGTGCCTATTTCTAACAAATGCAACATCAGCATAACCAACACCATCACGTTCGTGCCCAAAACACACGCGGCAGATGAAGTAGAGTTCATTTGTTTCAATGACCTCGGCATATAGTGGTCAGTTTCAAACCAGAACTGGGTGGACTCAGGGACGTTCGGCAGACTCTACCCTGGGTTCCGAACTTTCGAGACTATCGGGCTAGCAGCAGTGTTTCTTCCAGGCTTTTTTCTCCGGGGGGGGGGGGGGGGGGGCTTGAAATTTTCGTAGGAGGGGGGGGGACGACTAAATTTTCCGGAGGGCGGGGGGCGGACACTGTTAAAAATATATTTTTTTCTATATAAATGATGCAATTTCGTTCGGGGGGGGGGGGGGCGGTAGACTTTCTTCGGGGGGGGGGGGGGCAAAGAACCTCCCCTCCCCAGAAGAGATGCCTGGAAGAAACTCTGGTTAGCAGTCGTACGCTCTGCCCTCTGACCATGCCGCCCATAACAAATGCAAACATTATAGTATAGCTGCTTATATTCAAATTACTTTTTAAAATGCCATCTTGTAAAAAAGCGTTCGACCTCCTTCTGCCGTCCGTGTGACGTTATTTTCGAAAAGCATCAATTAAAAAATATAAAATCAATAACCATTCTTTTTATTTTTCATAAAATATAAGAGAGAAACGAAACTTAAAACGATTTGAGGCTTAATAGGGCAAATAAAGTTGGTTTACGAACAGATGCAGTTTTGTTTCAAAGCAAATACAATTTGGCTTTAATGCTAAATCTGGAAAAACGAAACCAAGTTTTGAAATCCATGTTTGAAAATAGAAAAAAAAAGAAAGTAAGGAGGTGCGGTTAATTTTTTTTTTTGCGACTAGAGACCCAGACCAAAATATATAATTAAAAAGGGAGACTTAATAGTGATAATGAAATGCTCATATTGTAGTCCATAGCGATCTAACTGTCTTTGGGCTTTAGGTTTGGGCTGTCTAGACGAAGATCGAGATCTTTATTAATATTTTTACTTCCAAATCAAACCAAGGGGGAAAAGGGCTAGTGTTAATATCAATCTAGTATAATGTCTGTATATTACAATTATGTATGCTTTTAAACAGTTTGAAGTGCACCTTTTGATACTGTTTAACTATTGTTTCCTATCACCAGTCTCTGACCATTCGCTCTAGATCTACATTTCAAACTAAGCTAGAGCTACTAAACAAAAAGAAGTTAAATTTAATCTCTTCTCATGTGATCTTTTTGTCACGTGATATAAATCTAGGCCAAGATGGAAGGTAAACAAGAAGTACCAGAAGATCAAAATGTTACAACTACTAATGAAAATAACCCTGATGCTTCTAGCTCATTCAAACCCACATTTGAAAATGGACAGGTATTTTTTATCAATTTGATACAATTTTCTTTATTTCTACTCTTAAGCTAGATCTATAAGAAATTAAGAAGTGACTGTGTTTCCAAACGTTTCCAAGTTTCCAAGTCAAATGGTCCTTAAATGGAGTTTTCAGTTAAAAATGTTAGATCTAGAATCTAGATCTAGATATCTACATACTAGAATCTAGATCTAGAATCTAGCTTGTAGATCTAGCAAGTACTAAATCTAGATCGATATTTCTAGTAGCTAGATCTCTAGATCTAGATCTACTCATAAATAACTCAAACTACAAACATCATAATTGTAAAATCTAGATCTAGATTCACAGATTGAGATTCTAGTTACCTAGTGCCTAGTAGTTAGTAGGCCTACTAGATCTACTTCTTAATTATAATTAGGCCGCATTTGTGCGGTTCGCTCCGCGTTGCGCGTAAGGCCGCCTTTGCGCAGTTCGCTCTGCGTTACGCTTAATCTTTTCCCTAGGTGGCACGCGATCTAAAAAAAAAACAGATATAAGGACCGCCCGAGTTATTTTTTCGTGGTAACAATTTAATGTTGACATAGATTTAGCTCGAGTTTAAGTGTATTTAGATCTCTATATTATTTCAACACCTTAGAGTCTAGTACTTGTAAAAAAACAGTACAGTGTAGTGTCAAGGAAAGTTTGTGAGGTCAGATGGGTCAGATGATAGTCCTAGTTTAGCAGCAACCTAGCTAAATCAAACTGTCCTTAAACCTTTAGGCCTAGCTATCTAGCATGCGTGATAGTAGATCTAAGTCTATATTATTTATCCTACGTGAACTTAAAAAAAAAATTCAATTTGCTTGAGGGGGGAGGGGGGTGGGAGGAAGAGAGAAGTGAAGACAGACGATCTCGTGTGAACGTCTATGACGTATGCTTTCTTTAGGCCTCGCCTAAAGCCAGTGACCTCGCCATCCGTGGGCCGTGGTGGGATTTTCCACTCATGCAATAGTAAACATAAGGCAAGCAATCACGACAGTGACGATGTTTGGAAATTTTATTAAAAAAAAAAAAAGAATCATAATCTACGTCATATTTTCAATATGAAAAAAATGTAAAAAAAAACAACAAAAAAACTAGTACCCGGGTTCGAACTCTGAACTTCGGGTCTATGAACTTCAGACTACAGCTGGCACACTGTTGACTCAACCACAGCGGATGAGATAAAATAGACAAAAGTAAGCATTTTCAATTACAAGAAGGCAAATCAAACCTGCGATACGCGTAGTATATTCTTTAGGGGCCACGCTTTGCGAGACGCGTAGTCACTTCGTTATAATTAAGTTAATTATTAACTTAATAGATCTAGATTCTAGTAGTAAGTAGATTTTTCTAGATCTAGGTCTATCATCGACATCTCACTATCTCAGGTCTCAGATCAGTCATTGAAGTTTCTAGACTTGTACATCAGGAATATTTTCTGAATATACTAATGTCACAATGTAAATAGTTCCAGTTCTTGAATTATACTAATGATAGGCCTAAATATTAGTAGATCTTGATCTAAGATCTAGATCTGCATGAAAAAAACTTTGATTCAGAACCATTTAGTAATTAGAATCTATATTAGTAGGCCCATTTTTAAGATTTGGCGATTACTCATTATTTAACTTATTTAAGGGGGTCTTTGCTAGTTAAATTCAGTTAAACAATTTATAGTTGTATTAATCATTGAATTGAATCATGCACCATTAGCTAAGGAAATCAGTCTGTTTAGATTTTCTTAGCATGTCTTTTTAACTACTTGCTAGTAGAGATTTAATCTGAAAAAAATCAAGGTCTTTTAGTTGTAAGCATCCATCTGATGCATCTTATTTTGTCTGTAGTTTGCATTATCAGTTACTAGGTGTAACAGACTGTATTCTTGGGTATGATTTATTATATTGTATTTAATATGAAGTTGTATGAATGTAGAGTACCTGGCCAATGGAAGGACTGTGTGAGCGACTAGTCATGTTTTTTCCATGCTTTTTGTGAGATCTCTCACTGACGTTAGGGGAGAGAATGTAAGGTATAAAAGGGGAGCGCAAGGGGGACTAGCTGTGCCTGTATAGAAGAATGTTGGAAGTTGTCACCTGTTCACTTTGTTTCTAGATTGTAGTTTGAGTATCGTTTTTTCTATTATGAATTTACCATCACTATTCTTGTGGATCTATTTGTTGATGTAAATAAAGTTATAAGTTGTAAGAACTGTTGATCGTCTTCTTGGATGAATGAACTCACAATAACATAGAAAATACGCGTTGTTATATTAGGCTAAAAAGTAGTAGGGAGAGAACACATCTTTGTTTGGTTCCTGTCTGAACCACAAATGGACCCATTCTGTCATAATATTTGCTTAATGCTTAGTAGAAATACATTACATTAGTTTAACTATTTGCATTATATTAACCTAATTATCTGTTTCTTATTTAATTACAGTTGTCATACTTAGGATTTGATATTGAGACATTACCAGCTAAACTAGTTGAAGACTATTGTAACATTACATCACGGCTTGATCTAAGTTTTAACCAGCTGAAGTAAGTACTTAAACAAAGGTTAAGTAGCCTTTGCATAGCCCAGCTATTTTAGCTTAGGCGTCATCCATTTATGACGTCCACACGCGGGGGGGGGGGGGGGGGGGGTCCTGAAAAAAACTGACTTTTGTGGACACATATGGACTTTTATAAGTTTATAAGGAAAAAAAGTGGATTTTTTTTTTTGGGGGGGGGGGGGGGGGGAGGCTAAAATCCAAAAAAATTGTGGACGTCATAAATGGATGACCCCTTAGTGGTAAATAAATTTTTGTCTAGTTGTAAAAAAAAATTAATTTCAATTTCTGAACAATTGAATTTTGAATGCATATGAATAGGTTTTAATTTTGTGTGCTTTATATTTTGTATATGTTAAACAAGATAATATATTTGAACAACTTGCATAGTTTTATTACTATGCAAAGCACTATTTGCATAGAGAAGGGGTAGCAACACAAATGAGTGTTTATAAAAAAATCACTACTACTTTAAGTCCCATAATTTTTACCTGAAAATTATAAATGTTAACTTTGAGATTACAGCTATTTTATAATTCAATTTTCTATTACATTTTCTTTTTACCTGAAAATTATAAATGTTAACTTTGAGATTACAGCTATTTTATAATTCAATTTTCTATTACATTTTCTTTCGTTGGTGCAAATGTCAGTTTAAATACAATAACCTACTGTTTCTAGAAAGGGTTAAGTTTGAGTATATTTACATATTTAACATGGTGGCTTTATAACTTGATTTATAAAATTATTTCTTGCTAGAAATCTTTCTGGTCTTGAGCACTTCAAATTTTTGAAAGAACTGGTGCTTGACAATAATGAGCTCGATGATACTGTTGTTTTTCCTTGCCTTAAAGATCTACACACGTTGACCATCAACAAAAATAAGGTGAGTGGTGGTGTACAGACAAAACGCTGTTCAAAGTTTAATGTGTTTGTTTGTCTCTTAAACCACAGTAAACAGTTATCAGAAATGTACATCAAAATCAAGTACATGCCATAGGTAGGAAAACCCAAATGATTTGACCATATTAAACTAATCTCTTTCTTTCGTTTTTTTTGCAAACTAATCTCTTTCTTTCTTTTTTTGCAAACTAATCTCTTTCTTTTTTTTTTTTTTTTTTGCTGTGTTATAATGGTTCTATTAAAATCAAATCTAAATTGAGTCTGAAATAATAATATATGAAAAAATGTTTCTATTTTTTTATATTGATAATAAAGTCAGAAATAATTATTTTCCTTTATTTTTTCTTAGATCCGTGATCTCTACAAATTGGTAGATCAACTTGTCTCTTGTTTCCCTAATTTGACGTACCTGAGTTTACTTGGAAATGAAGCCTGTCCCAATCAGCTTTCTTCTAATGAAAAAGATGAAGAGGACTATCAAAGATACAGGTATTCAACTGTTGTGTGTAGCCTATGTATTCATGTATTCACTCTTTTTGTTAATTTATCTATATCAGGTACCCAGGGGGGGGGGGGGGGGGGGGGGGTTGGGGTGGTCGGGTCTGAGGTTTGCCAACTTGTAGACTAATCCAAACAAAAAATCCCCTTGTTTTATTGAATGTTGCTGTTGTAGTAGGTAATTTGGCTTACATGTAGGGGTTGCCACTAAAAAAAGTAGGAACCTGAGATCTATATAACTTTACTCATGCATCTATTACTCTATTTAGTTCAGTGTTGATGTATTTTTAAGTTCAATATAGATGACAGAGCCACAAGCAAGATACACCTCCATTTTAAAACACATTGTTTAGGAATAAAATAATTTAATGAGTGGATAAGATGCTGTCAATAATGCAACCATATTTTGAATGGTAAATGTGCTAACTATATCATAACAAAGTTTATAACTCTTTTATCTATACACCTGTTTTACCAGTTAAATCTGGTATTTTAAAGTCATCTTACTTGAATGCTGTATCATGGTTGTTAAACTGTCCCTTTTTAAAATTAACTGGATGAATTGTTCTGAATGGAAATTTATCTCTTTCAGATATTACGTTGTGTACAAAATTCCTGGCTTAAAGTTTTTGGATTCCTCTCAAGTCACAGCGTCAGAAGTTCAAGAAGCCAAACGCGTGGGTCCGTACCAGCAGATAGTCAGGCCGAAAGATAATTTAGAGGTCAGTACCAGATTTCATATCCATACCAGCAGATAGTCAGGCCGAAAGATAATTTAGAGGTCAGTACCAGATTTCATATCCATACCAGCAGATAGTCAGGCCGAAAGATAATTTAGAGGTCAGTACCAGATTTCATATCCATACCAGCAGATAGTCAGGCCGAAAGATAATTTAGAGGTCAGTACCAGTTTTCATATCCATACCTGCACTATTAAAGGGGATGGAGGGGTCGGTGTGGTCGAGTCGGTTAAACTCATGGTTGCTAAACCGAAAAGTCTCGAGTTCGAACCCTTGGGTAGATGAGGCTCGTTAGCTGGGGACAGCCATTCTTCTAGGAGAGACAACTCCAAAATCAAATAACTGCTTCCTTGTAGTTTGTTCTTGGTTAGACAAAGGCTATGGAAGCAAATCCAAAAAGAAAAGCAGGCTGAAACCGGAGTCCATGGCCTCAATGGCGCATAACCAGTTGACATGTATCCTTAATTGTGATGGAGGCGTGGCCGAGTCGAGTTGATAAATTCGAAAAAAGTTTCGAGTTCAAACCCTCAGATAAGGCTCGATCACTTCCAACACTAAAAATTAAGAACGAAGAAGAAGAAGAAGAAAGGAGATGGCATGCATGGTCAGGTGGGAGCGTGTAGGATTGCTAACTCCAAAAGTTCAGAGTTTGGATCCCCGTGGCAGATCAGGCCTGTGAGTTAAGGACAGCAACTCATAATGGAGAGAAAATCTCCAAAGTAATACAACTGCTGCCTTGCATGTTGTTTGTGGATGGACAATTTATGGAAGCAAATACAGACAGGCTGGAGTTAGGGTCAACTGGTCATATGGCACGTAATATGTTGACACATAATACTTAATTCTGTTGGAGGAAATTGACTCCTATATTACAATTAATAATAATTATACAATTAAGTACTATGATGAAGAAAATCATTAGCTTTTTGTAACCGGTTATTGAGTTTTTACTCAGTTTTAGCCTCTCTAAATGATTAAGCATGTATTTTACAACAAAAAAAACTGTTTGGAATCCAACATAAATCTGTTACATTTTTCTTCACTTTTAGGATTCAGATTCCCTAAACTCTGGATCCCCCACTGTACCATATAGTCCATTACCTTCTGAAAGTCAAAAAGAAAACATAGACCACCAAGGTATGTACACTACACCTATTACTTTGCTATTTTTTTACAATTATATTCTTGTATTAGTGATTCTCAAATGAAACATACTTTATTTTACATTGCTTTAAAAAAAAGTATTACCTCTTTTAAAGATGATGTAGAATGTGTAGCTAGAAGTGAGTTGTTCTTTTTAAAATAATCTCCAAACCTAAATTCTAGAGTGTTTTCCCTAAAGTTAACCCTTGCCCATCTCTCCATGGCCATTTTTATTTTATTATTTTATTTTGTTTGCCTATTATTTCACATAACAATGTATCTCTCTCCCTGAAAATACATATAGTCTACTATGACGTTACTCATTAATAGCATTTTATTTTTAAAAAAAAACATGTAATCCATTAAAACAGGACTTGACTACCATAATTTAACATCATACAAAGTCAGCCTCCTTCATATTACAATTGTAACAACATTCATACCACGTCAGTGCACTAACACAATCCCTCCACCAGACTATAATTATCACTAGCACAACAAATAGATTACACCATAATAAATATACCACCTTCATGGTCCTTAATTGCACCATCATAATTACCTGTATCACCATATGGTTTTCACCATGTCATTGATGCAACCTCCCCCTCCCCACCAACCAACACCAATCCTACCATGAAAACTGACCAGTCCAATATAGATCAGATGACCACCCACTTCTGCTCTAACTAAGAATGCCTTTATCTCTGCAGGCACCTTTGGGAAGACCAAATATATTTATTATGGCCGCCATAGTGAAGGCAACCGGTTCATTAGAAACAAAGATTTATGAGCGGCCTCCCCTAACCCCTGCTGATGTTTTTTTTACCTCGGTCCCTGTCATTGACGGCTAGTACCAGACCCACAGACCAACCCTCATTGTTTTTATCTTTCTCTGATAAAACCTGAAGCATCGAGGACAATTTTAAAAAAAAAATTGTTGAGTAACTTTATTACTCTATTTAAGATCGAAATGTTAAAAATACATTCAGAATATTGTATTGTAACTTTGTGTTCATTTATCATATAAAGATAAAACAGCCAGTCTTTTGTGTGTTAAAGTTAAATTTTTGTGTTTTAGAAACATTTGAATACCTACATTAATTAAAGAGGATAATAGTGTATAAAAAATAAAAAGTTGAAATAAATATTTAAAAAAATAAAAATTGTAATTGATTCTCAGAGAAAAAAAATGTATAATGTTGTACAAACATTTTTAGAAGGGTAAACTTAAAAATTCAGTAATTCATTAATTAAGATCTTCATCTTATCCAAGAATTTTTGCTAGGCTAAGAGCTAATTGGTGTTGCTACATGTCTGAGCAGAGTTGTGATTGTCTTTCACCATTGTTTTATTTCCTAATGGTTTGTTAGTGTTGACGCCATGTACACCAGTTAACCACCATGTTAAGGTATATTGTTAAAAAGAACTGCTGGTGTTGCTGTGTATACCAGTCTCAGCAGTAAGGTTTTGTTTGTGTGCTCCCATTTTTTACACCTAGTCACAGATTTTTTCAGATTTTTTTTTGTAATCATCCTAAATCCCACTATCCTAGAATTATTTCACCTTTTAAAATTCCATTTATCTTGCAATTTATGTTTAAAAATCCATTAACTGTTGTAGAATAATTGTCAGTGGGTTTAACCAACACATTTTTAAATTGAAAAATCTAGATTAAATCACTTTTTAATATGTAACTCGTTAGTTAAAAAAACAAATATTACCCCCAAATATATTTCTTTTCTAACTATACTGAATCAATAATTGTTACAGAATAAAATTTCTGTCTTCCCTCAATGTAAAGTGGCATGTCTGATACATTAATTAAAGTAATTTAAAGAATATTGGAGTTTTTTTATAAAAAGATTTTACTCTTGTTGAAAGATAAAACTTTAAAAAAAAGTTGTTTTGTTCGTACCTGGCTGGTCAGTGCTGAGGTTTTATACTTAACATTTTTTGTGCTGTAAATATACAAACACTGTAATATATTAGGATAACAAAATTTTCTTAATTTTACCCCTTTTGTAACCTATTTTTTTTTTGGCTTGTTGTTTTGATCCATGTGAAGCTGACATATTTCTTTATATCACCCAGTTATTATTAGATCATTGAAAGCGTTGATTGTAGCTTAAATAATGTGGTTTGCTGAGCTCAATAACTGATTAGGGGGTTGTCTATAATTGATGTCTCATAATAAGCAGCATTATCAAACATCTCAAAAAGCCACACCCCATCATATTGATCTATGCTCTGACCATCATCACACCTCCATCATTAGATCTGGGACCATTAATTATGGATGACCCCTTACTGTGAAAAGTTGAGATTTATTAGTTACCTTTAAACAGTTGTTGGTATTTTTTCCATGAATATTTTCTTGTGTTCTTGAATGTAAGTATTTATTTATGTAAACTCTTTTGACACTGATTTTACAGTATACTTACAAGGTAAATTAACGTTTACATTAACTACATAGATAAGGTTTTTTTATCAACAAATTTCCTTGGACTTAGTTGACCCTTGACCTGCATGCCAGACTTGACCTATCAATCATTCACATTACCTCCCCTTATTGGTGAAGCTCAAATGATGAGTTATGTCAGCTGGCTGTTGCAATGAATGATGAGTTATGTCCCATGTTTGTTTCAGGCTACTGGGGACAAAACAGAACCAAATATCTGGGACGTAATTCAGAAGGCAATAGGTTTATAACAGATGGGATATTGTGATGCCTTTTCGTTGCATTGTCCCATAGAGTTGTATTTAGACTATTGTATCCAGCCTGTTAATCCATTGGTATTATCTTTGATATAATCTTTGTTATAATGCTATGTGATTTTATTTTGTGTGGGGTCATTTGTTTGATGCTGATGAGATGTAAGTGTCAGACAAGTCTAGTCACTGTACACTTTCAATGTTGCTACACATTCAGATGTGTACACGTGCAAATTTATAGACATTCAATCACTGTACACATTCAGACACTGCACACACAACAGTTGTACACATGTACACATTTAAGATGTGTAGGCTTACACATTCAGACATTTTACATATTCAGCACTTATAACGCTTGTACACATGCAACACATGTACACATTCAGTCAATGTATGCATTCAAGATGTGTATACATTCACACATTTTAGACATTTACACATTAGGCAAACATTGTTTGAAAAGAAATGTTAAAAGTGGAAGTTACCAATCTCTGTGTTTTATTATGTTTAATCATCTTAAGTCAGTGTTTTAACATGTAAAAGTAATTAGTGTGTTTTAACTTTTCAACTTGTTACAATTAGTGCTGTGTCGGCATTTTAACATGTTAAAACTATCACTAAGTAGGTATTTTAACATGTTAAAACTAGCACTAAGTAGGTATTTTAACATGTTAAAACTAGCTCTAAGTAGATATTTTAACATGTTAAAATCACTACCAATAGGCTACTGCTGTGTTAACATATGAATTTGTTCAAACTTAGATATTATGTTCATGTAAATATTATGTTGAGAAATGAATTGTTACATTGTATGAGCATGTTAACGGTACATTCTATGCTATAAATAACCCCTCCATCATTTCTGAAAGATAGGTTTGAATCATTTCTATTTAAACATGGGGCCTTGACCCACATCCTAATGATGACATCATTGCTGTGTACAATCTGATCTCATAACATAAATAAAACATTATCTTTTCTTTTTATCTTTCTTACCCAACTTTGCTCTCTAGCTTTCATGAAGAGTTATCTTTGTTTCAGCATATTATTTTGAGAGTGATGGCCCCTAGTCAAAATAAACATATCTTTACGGTTTTTCTATTTTTTAATAAAGAGTATGCTGGTTTTTTTTTAAATAGAAATTTTGTGGAATCTTGCTAGGAAAGAAAATAAATTGGTGAAATATTTTTATTGTTGGTGTGTAAATATTGTTTTTTTGTGTGTTCATTTTTATTATATAATTGGATGGTATCACACCATGCCCAACTTCGTTTTCTTTTAACATAATTGAGTGCCGACATGTTTTGTACCTTAAGGCCCGTTTACTTTGTGACTTTTGCCTGCTTTTATTTCACTGTACGGAACTCCTGGCCTCTCAGGTCATCAGTTGTGCGGTTTACTACTAGACCATGCCGCTCCATTCAGAGTTTCTTCCCGGCATCTCTTCGGCGCCCCCCCCCCCCCCCCCCCGAAATTTTTTACCGCCCCCCCCCCCGAACGAAATGAAATTTATATAACTTATATAGAAAATATATACTTTTAACAGTCTCCGCCCCCCCACCCCCGGAGAAAAAGTCTGGAAGAAACACTGGCTCCATTAGAGAGATTGGCTAAAACTTCAAAAGTGTAACGTGTCGCTGAATCGTGTTTTGAACCACCGACTGAAAACTTGAATGTAAATAACCCCATCTTGATGATCACGTGACTGTGTCAATGGTGGTCACGTGTCAAGTCCTATGAAGTATTTGTCTAGAGAAGCACATGAAGACGCGGCAACAGTGGGTACCTTCTACAGCAGTTTGACATGACCCGATGTTGTTTGATTGGAGGCGGAAGTTCTGTGCTAAGTGGGCGGTTGATCTTGGTAAACAGATGGGGGGGGGGGGGGGGGGGGCGCTTAAAAGGACCAGCAGCCGAATGGCTATGGTGACAAGCGCAAGAAATCAGAGCGGGATTTCGTTTTGGGTTTTTTTTTTTTTTAAATGAGGACAAGAGGGTGGCAATTTTTGAGGGTGTGGCTACAATATACCACGTGTAGGATGCGACTATTCACCTGATGAATGAGCCTGACCTGGAACAACTGACCTCCCCTGACTATGATAATTCTATATCCCTAATTCAGAAACCAGCGGCGTAACTAGGTCGAGCGTCATCCGGTGCGTTTATTGAGGGTGTCGTAGCGAACTCCAGAGGCGTAGCGACCCTTCCCGGCGCCCGGGGACATACTTTCAATTTGGCGCCCCCCTCGGGAGCAAATTTTCGATTTGCACCCCCCCTCGAACTTTTCATTTGCACCCCCCCCCTCAAACTTTCGATTTGCACCCCCCCCTCGAACTTTTCATTTGCACCCCCCCTCAAACTTTCGATTTGCACCCCCCCTCGAACTTTTCATTTGCACCCCCCCTCAAACTTTCGATTTGCACCCCCCTCGAACTTTTCATTTGCACCCCCCCCTCAAACTTTCAATTTGGCGCCCCCCCTAAGGTCGGCGCCCGGGGACATATGTCCCCCCCCGCCCCCCCCTCGCTACGCCTCTGGCGAACTCCTCCAACATTTTTGCATTTTCGGTTTGGTGTCACCCCCCCCCCCCCCCCCCCCTTTACTATTTTATTATTTTAACTGGATAAAATATGATTTTTACAGTAAATGGTGTTACTCGCTGACACCTTTTGACTCTAATATGACGTATTGATGTCGACGGTACTGTCCAGCAAGCCATTGCTCCCTTTAACTCGACTTCTGTTTACTATCTCGCTTATGAGTAGCTACAGGCTGCAGCCAATTTGTGGCAAAGTCGCCACACTCTAATTTTCTAAACTCGGTGTGGCGGTTGATGCCAGACAGTCCACAAGTGTGGCAATGTTGCCACACTCTGAACTTGGTGTGGCGATTGATGTCAGACAGTCCACAAGTGTGGCAATGTTGCCACACTCTAAACTTGGTGTGGCGGTTGATGTCAGACAATCCACAAATGTGGCAATGTTGCCACATTCTAAACTTGGTGTGGCGGTTGATGTCAGACAATCCACAAATGTGGCAATGTTGCCACATTCTAAACTTGGTGTGGCGGTTGATGTCACATTCCACAAGTTTGTGGCAATGTCGCCACACTCTAAACTTGGTGTGGCGGTTGATGTCAGACAATCCACAAGTGTGTGGCAATGTCGCCACACTCTAAACTTGGTGTGGCGGTTGATGTCAGACAATCCACAAGTGTGTGGCAATGTCGCCACACTCTAAACTTGGTGGGGTGGTTGATGTCAGACAATCCACAAGTGTGTGGCAATGTCGCCACACTCTAAACTTGGTGTGGCGGTTGATGTCAGACAATCCACAAATTTGTGGCAATGTCGCCACACTCTAAACTTGGTGTGGCGGTTGATGTCAGACAATCCACAAATTTGTGGCAATGTCGCCACACTCTAAACTTGGTGTGGCGGTTGATGTCAGACAATCCACAAATTTGTGGCAATGTCGCCACACTCTAAACTTGGTGTGGCGGTTGATGTCAGACAATCCACAAATTTGTGGCAATGTCGCCACACTCTAAACTTAGTGGGGCGGTTGATGTCACAGTCCACAAGTTTGTGGCAATGTCGCCACACTCTAAACTTATTGTTGACCATTGACGTCAGACAATCCACATAATCAGCTTTACATTTTGTTTGGATATTCAGATATAAATAGACGTGAATTCTTTTTATATAAAAAAAGCATACTCATAATTAAAGAGGGGGGAGGGGGGGGGGGCGGGGGCAAGAGGAAGAAATGCAGATATTCTATTGTAAAGTGAAAACTGGGAGGCAGAGATGTAGATAGGAGATTAAAGGGGGAAAGGGGAAAAAAAATTCAAGTTTGTTTAGACTCGTGCTTCCTGTACAGATTAAATTTTGAATGCGTGTTTGTCCTCAGATAAATGATAGATCTGGTTTTTTAGTTTAAGGGTTTCAACAATACCTTGCTTGTTTTAAGGATACCACTGCTGAACTTAATTTAGTAAACCATTAATTACGTTAGCGTACAGCATTAATGGTGGAGTAAGGATTCAACAATACCTAGGTTGTTTTAAGATTTATAATACCACTGTTGAACTTTATTAAGTAAACCTTTAATTACGTTAGCATACAGCAATGTTAGTGGAGTGAGGGTTCAACAATACTTAGGTTGAACCATTGTTGAACTTAATTTAGTAAACCATTAATTACGTTAGCGTACAGCATTAATGGTGGAGTAGGGGTTCAACAATAATTAGGTTGAACCACTGTTGAACTTAATTTAGTAAACCATTAATTACGTTAGCGTACAGCATTAATGGTGGAGTCAAGCAGTGGATCAGATGATCAAATATAGTTGGAGCTGATGTTAAAAATGTTTCTGTTCCGAGAAAAAAATAAAAGTTTAAATAAAAACCAACTCTATTTAATGAGTAGAGAATAGGTTTATAGACGATGTTAACTTCAATTACAAATAATTAAAAAAAAATAAACAGAGCAGGGCTAGAGATAAAAATAATTTGGCGGAAGAGAAAAACCACCAGCTCCCGGATTTAGATACCACACGTGGGTTTTTAAATAAACACAACTTAAAAAAACACGGCCTGAAACATTTCACTCGTGAACTTCTAGACATCAGCCGTCACTAGCGCCATCACTAGCGCCACCACTAGCGACATCAACCTTCTCTCTATCACTTGTGAACAAGTCGGTCAGTTTTTTTTCTTCTTTTTACTTCTTTCAATCACACACACGCACATATATAACAATCACTGTTACACGCACACATACACCAATCACTGTCACACACACGCACCAATCACTATTACACACAAGCACAAATACACCAATCACTGTCACACACACATACACCAATCACTGTCACACACACGCACCAATCACTATTACACACAAGCACACATACACCAATCACTGTCACACACAAATACACCTATCACTGTCACACACACGCACCAATCACTATTACACACACGCACATATACAACAATCACTGTTACAAACACACATACACCAATCACTGTCACACACAAATACACCAATCACTTTCGCACACACACACACATAAACCAATCATTGTCACACTTACGCACACAAACACCAATCATTGTCACATTTACGCACACATACACCAATCACTGTCACACATACGCACAAAATGCACTAAACATTCACACACATACACCAATCACTGTCACACATACGCACAAAATGCACTAATCATACACACACATACACCAATCACTGTCACACATACGCACAAAATGCACTAATCATACACACACACATACACCAATCACTGTCACACATACGCAAAAAATGCACGAATCACACACACATACAACAATCACTGTCGCGCACATGCACAAACACACACACACGCAAATCACTGTCACCCGCATGAATCACCACAACACGGACACACAAACACGCACACAGACACACACCAATCATTGTCACACAAATACACACACACACAAATCACTGCCACACACAAAACGTACACAAGGGCGACGATGCTTGACATGTTTATGACGTCAGTATATTACACTTATGTAACCAGCTACCATGTAATCAAAGCTTCGACATACGCAGAACGGGCTGAGACAAATTCATTCGTTTTGTTTTCCTTCAAACGTTTAAAAAAAAACTCTTTGCTTTTACATGCCCTCACTGTGATTTCTAAACGATGTTTCTGCTTCACTCTGTGTAGTGTGGTATTACCCAGAGGCACAACAGCAGATTATATAAGGGATACAACATCTTTTGAACGAAACATCTTTGTAACAGCAAGATTGTGACACATCTTCTGAATGAAAAATCTTAGTGACAACATAAGTGATACATATTTTGAATGAAACATTTTCTGACAAGAGTATTACACGTCTTTTGGATGAAGCATTTTTGTGACAATAGGATCGTGACACGTCTTTTGAATGAAACGTCTTTGTGACAATATAAGTGACACATCTTTTGAATGAAACGTCTTTGTGACAATAGGATTGTGACACATCTTTTGGATGAAACGTCTTTGTGACAATAGGATTGTGACACATCTTTTGAATGAAACGTCTTTGTGACAATAGGATTGTGACACATCTTTTGGATGAAACGTCTTTGTGGCAATAGGATTGTGACACATCTTTTGGATGAAACATCTTTCTGACTACATAAGTGACACATCTTTTGAATGAAATATTTTTGTGATAGAAGATTGTGACAAAACTTTTAAATGGAGTATCTTTGTGACGACAAAAGCGGCTCAACTTTTAAAACTGTGACCCTCAGGATTTAGACTCTACATTGGCCCAACTATACAAGAGAGCCGCCCAGAATCGAGTGCTTTGAAAAGTAAGTAAGTGAGTGAAATATGACACAACAGCGGGTATTGAAAGTGAGATACTATTTAAAAAAAGAGATGTTTCCGAAGCAAAAATCATCGGCTGAAAGTCTTTAAATACAGGGTTTCTTTCAGGCATCTCTTCGTACAAAGTTGTTAAAATTTATTATAATTTAAATCGAAACTATGTATACTTTAATCAGTTTCGGCTCCCAGGAATGCCCCTCCCCTGAAAGTTTCAAGTGCGGTCTTCATCCCCTCCCCCCTCCCGGAAATAAAAGTCTGAAAAAAAAATCCTGTTCTAATCGCGTGACAACAACAGCTATATGAAGTGAGACACTAGCTTTTAAAATTGGGATACTACAACAACTTGTCTAACTGTAGGTAAGAAAAAAACGAAACAGCGATTGTTCCAAAAAAAAGGGTCACACATACTACAACTACAACTGTCCGGAAAATATCCATTAATAACAGTATACAAAAATAAACAAGGAAGCTTTTTAAGGCTACAATACGTACCTTTGTTTCCTTTAATCCAGGTAATGTTTTGACTTTTTTAGTTTTGCTTTTTGTAGTAGGCAAGTAGTAGACATGTAGAACTACCTGACGATATAATTGGTTGATGTGTTGTACAATTAGCTTAAGTAAACGACGTAAAATCATATTAAAACAACGACATTAAAAAGCACAATGTAAACAAATATGCAGTTAATTTGTGAAACTACCACAATATAAATCTATGATATACTAAACACAAACATTAGCTTAAGTAAACGACGTAAAATCATTTCAAAACAACGACATTAAAAAGCACAATGTAAACAAATATGCAGTTAATTTTTGAAACTACCACAAAATAAATCTATGATATACACAAACATTTTATTAAAAAACAACAACGGATATGTATGTAGATATGGCTGCTTTATTGGCAAGGTAAAATATAAATTTATTTACTATATAGGCCTACAGCCTATAAAAAATAATTCTGCCTAGTTATTCTCCCATTTTATAAACATCACAGCTATTCTTTCTCTACAAAAGGCGTAATTATAGTTAGCCTCATTGTGGCAATCACCAGGTACAGTCCTCAATCTTTGTTACACAAAGGGACATAATTCTTCCAAGGGACACAACTTTTCAACTTGTTACACTTTACTGTAAACTAAGCTAAACTAAAGACTAAGGGAGATATTTTAAAACTTAATTTCAACAAAAGAAAGTGTTTAAAAAGTACTACATACGTGTTTGTAAAAAAAATACATCATGCATTAAAAATATTGTCACAATGCGATTAATTAATTTTGCTAAACGAAGAAATAATCTTACCCTCTGAACTGTGATAACACGATGAAATAAGAATAATTTTATTGAACTACCAAGATCGGATGTCTCTATCCTCGAAATATCTGATTTACAAAAAAAATAAAAAAATAAAATGAAAGAATTATCTGATTTACAAAATATAAGCCACTGTTTCGTCCTTATAAACTAAATAGCCAGGTTCATCTGCACACTTCAATCAAAGCCTCATGTAGTATGATACTATTGATACACGCATTTTATTCTCTTTGCCCCCGAACGAAATGAAATTTATATAATTTATATAGAAAATATATACTTTTAACAGTGTCCGCCCCCCCCCCCCCCCGAAGAAAGTTTACCCCCCCCCCCCCCCCGAAAATTTCAACTGCCCCCCCCCCCCCCCCCGGAGAAAAAAGTCTGGAAGAAACACTGTTCACCTTATACAGTTTCATATTAAATTGGTCACATAAAGAAGGGGGTGGGAGTGCTAGTAGTTTAATGGGGTGGTATGCAGTCGTCTATAAATACCACATTTAAACCTTACACACCTATTATCACACAAGTTTAAAGCACCCCCCACCCCAACTCTGTTACATCATTTCCCCCGCCCCCCCCCCCTTTCCTCCGACACAGAGTGTAGTTTAATTAACCAAAAACAGGATCAGTTTTTTTTTCCTTTCAGGTATCTCTCGAACGAAATAGATTTTATATGTAGAATTTATACCTTTGCCCGTGTCCGCCCCCTCCCCCTCATCCGAAATTTTAAAGTGCCTCACGGAGAAAAAAAAGTCTGAAAGAACACTGAACAGTATTGCCTGTCCAAGATTCTCTCTTCATTCCCCGCCCCCCCCCCCCCCCCATGTTTTAAAAGTTCTGTGTAGAGAAAACATGATTTACTTTAATAAATTAAAACTGGAATTGCATTGAGATTTGATTTCAGATGTTAAAATTAACAGCATTAAATTTTGTTTTAAATGTACTCACAATCTCATCCACCCGACTTTCTTCCCCTACGCCACTATCAAACAAAACAAAACCCCTTCCGCCGATTTATGTAACGGTTAATTAATATATCAAAACTCAATACATTAAATCAAATTACTTATAGGTTTACTGCGAGAAAATTGTCGAAACTTTTAGAAAGTAAATACTAAATACAGAAATAAAATAAAAAAGGCCAGACGCAATCAAGCGCATCGAAAAGAATCGGCTGCCGCCAGGGTATTTGTGACGTAGCAGCGTCACCCCTATCAACACTCATGTTTCCAAACACAAACTCAAGTCCACAAACATGATCTTCAGTGAAGCAGGCGATACAATTACAGTCACGTGATGGCATTAACCTGCTGGTGGTGGTGGGGGGGGGGGGGGGGTTAAGTTTCAACTCGTTGCCCTAAACTTGCATTACCTAAACTAGAACTAGCGTGTCTTCTGATACCATTGTGAAAACTGCTGGACGAAAATTAGTTGCCTCGCGAAATAGCTGGTAATGTAAACCGTGTTTATGTTACTAGATCGTTGATGTTTCTTTGATTACATGTTAGTTTATAATTAGAAATCGGTACGTACAATAACATTAATTACTGTCGTGGGTGAACTGAATTAATTACTTGTAGGCGAAATCGACACGATTCGTTATTTTATAATTAAAAAAAAACAACAAAAAAAAAAAAAAAACCATGCTATTTATATACCGATGTGTGTGGAAGCGTCATTCTTTATTTACATTTAGCAATGCCATTGGCTATTTGTTTAGCAGTGCAGACGACAGCATTGATTACACTCACCTGTGTTTAACATACACATACTCGCGCGTAGCTCCACGTACCTGTATTCACTGACCATCGCTCTACGTCCATTAATCAGGTCACGCACGGAAGCTCTGCTGTAAACGACGACCACGACATCAAATCCATCAAGTCGTCAGCCAGGTGTTCACGTGACCCACTTCACGTCTGCCGCCGGGGATCTTCCTACAGTCTACGCCGTGGCCATTTACACTGTCATGGTAACGTAGCAACCGTCCTTGGGTGAAACACAAAGCTTGACGCGTTGCCAAGGTTACAGTAACAGTGCGGAATGTGATGGAGTAGCGGGTACTTCGCGGAGCTGGAGATAAAACTGGCAATGTTTTGATTCAAGTTGTGTTACCTGGCAAGTATGCTTTTTATTACCTGCTGCTATGCCAATGTAGACGTAGTTTAGACAAATAGATCTCTATACAAGCATTATATATATATATATATATATATATATATATATATATATATATATATATATATATATATATATATATATATGTATATGTGTGTGTGTGTGCTTGTGTGTGTCTGTCTGAGTGGGTGTATATTTCTATTTTTATATAGAGGTATCTGATGTTCAGACACATTCCTTCATCATAAATCCTAAAAATACCTGTGTACATTTTGGCCTTGCACTAACAACCACGGGACCTGTGGAGCAATAGAGTTCTGTCCTTATGCATGGCAATGGTGATGGTTTGTGGGGGGGGGGGGGAGACTTTTACTACCCAGACCTTGCGGTTAAACAAGTTACGTCCCCTTGTTTCAGGTCTACATGTGACCTAAATTGGTAGATCTACTGTTGTACGGGCGACAAACGACTGTATTTCACATCGAGGCTCTGGTTTCCGACTTATAGAGACTGTCTAACTGTCGTTTTGTCAGACTAACAGAAATTTCTGACACTATATGAAATACGTTTGGATAGACATGAAATACATTTGGATAGACATGAAATACGTTTGGATAGACATGAAATACGTTTGGATAGACATGAAATACGTTTGGATAGACATGAAATACGTTTGGATAGACATGAAATACATTTGGATAGACTTTTTGAAAGAGTTAATTATAAACTTTTCGACAGGC